CCCCAAAACCCCAAAACCCCAAAACCCCAAAACCCCTCTCAAAAGACACTTTATGGAAAGTTTTATAAAATTTCTAGACCAGATTCAAAGAAATGGAAAAGCCAAGCACTGAACAGCCTTGTAACTCAATCTTCCTTACTTTAGTCTCTATAGATCTTCTGGGGTATTCAAAAGCAGGCAAAATAGTGATTCAAAAGAGGAAACTACTGCTTAAAAATTACAGGAACAACCAAATCCAAAGTAACCAGAATGGTAACAATGTATAGAGGGAGAATGGAGCAATCCTCAGAGAGGTATCAGAACGAAGAGTAGTTATCTCCTAAAATTCATCGATAAGGTACGGCCCAAACGTCTAAATTTGGATTCACAATATTTTACTACCATTTTTAGAAGCTGAAAGATCTCCACACTGATGGTATCAGCTCTGAACTTGAAGTAGACTCTAAGCCGATTGAGGTATAATAGAGTACACTTAAGTCTAGCTTAGGAAGAAATTAGCCTTTGATGATCATTTTGAGAGAAAACAGAACTAAAAATCATACTCTAAGCCAAAAACTTTATCAAAAATCTGAGGTTTTGAAAATGAATCATACAAAAACACCAAAGCTGCAGAAATCCCTTCAGTTACTAACTAAAAACCGCTCGATTGTAACCTTGAGCTAAAATTTCAGCACACAAAATTTACTTATCACAACCCTAAAATAACCATAACCAACAAATCCCCCCAAAACCCAACCCATACCACAAAAATCCCCCTCCAAAAATCCAAAATCCACCTCCCAAAAAGTACCAAAATCCTCTCAATATTCGACTCCGTCCTCAATTGTACCCCTTCCTTCACCTCTCTAGCATCCCGACTCCAAAACTACTACCGTAACACCACAAATCACCCCAAAATTCCCTTCCCTACCAAAACTGGCGCAATCACCACTCACAGTATATCCATTCACAAAAGAAAGTGAGGTGAACATGGAACGAGGAATAAAAGAATCTTGAATAGTAAAGGTGATGATTTTAATTGTGTAGGAACTATACATCCAAGGCAAAGAAATGAGAAAAGACATCAATCTATGCTAAAATTGAATATTACTACTAGTCCAAATAGTCGATCGAGCATCTCTCCGTGAGCTGCTCAGATCACCAAACTTCCTTATAATTCTTCAATCCGACGCTTGAGAACTCCAAAGAAGATTATTATAAGTAACAGTGTAAACGGCCCTTCAAACAAACATGGTCTCTCAAGACAGCTACCCATCCGACTTAATGATAGAGCAAAAATCCCTATTTTCACAAATTTTAATTTTTTTAAGCAGAGATCTTAGGTCAAACAACTTTCAAGCTACACCACACTCTACTCCCCACTTCCTTTCCAAGCACCCAAATTCTGTCTCCCTTCCGATTTCAACCATAAATTTCAAAAAGAGGTTCAATAAAGCAGAAATTTATCGGGGTTTTGGGGTTTTGGGGTTTTGGGGTTTTGGGGTTTTGGGG